TAACTTTTAAATTTAAAGAAATTGTAAGATTTATCGAATATCTGTTAAAATGTAATTCATTATAAATAAAATATATTGAAATTAAAATACATTTAAAATATTCTTCACATGAATGATAAAATAATAATAGAATTACACTTAGCAATTTTAACCATTTAATCTTAGAGGAATTCTCCTAATTATTAAATGTATGACATAACTTAATTTATACATGTATAAATACTATAACTTAAAACTATGATACACATTTACTCTTTATATGAATCTTAAAATAATAGAGTGCAAATAAACAGTATCTTTTTCATGAGAGATCAACTCGCAATAGAGTTGATAAGAAAAAGTGTCTTGCGATTGGCAAAAATATCCCTCTCCTTCATTCGTAACGCTTCTCCTAAATTCACATTTTTCATTGATTCGATTTGCACGTCGATTGCCAACATGGTTTTCTTTCAAATTACGTTGTTTTTTTTTTCTAAATGGCAACAGTGAAATTGAATTACCGTTGCTTTAAACTAAATCTTAAAATCAAGTTATATAGGAGATAAGTGATAATGAAATATATTTTTCAATGTCACTTTAATATTATTAAATGAAAGTTTTATTAATTAATATTATAAATTAAAATTTATTTTTCCATGATCTTTTTAGGAAAATTCGAATACTTAGTTAAAACATAATTTCTTTTCGAAGAATGCAATAAAAAACTTTCTCCACGAATGACTGTAATTTATCGTTTCTGTAAAATTTTTAAACATTTTTTACCAGCAGAGTTAAAAATTTCCGAACGATTTGAACCATAATATTCTTAAAATTTCTGGCAACCTTAATATGGTACCTGTTTATACTGTAACTTGTTATTACTATGCTTTAATTAAACTTAAATAAAAACACTGTGTAATTTGAATTGGCATCAGTAAATTAGCAACTGATTATGATTCAGGGTATCGATATTTCGGTTCAACGTTAAGCTAAATTATTGATTAAACTAAAGTTAAACCTTATTTTAAAACCTGAGGCTGATATTAACCGTTAATTACTTAATATATAAAAATTTATCCTTTTAAACTATTTTCCTTACTGCAGTATTCCGGATAAACTGTTTAACCTTCTGATAAACTATTTAACCCAGATAAACTGTTAATCAGATAAACCTTCCGTTTTTGTACAAATATAAATAAATAAATAAATGATTATTTAAATAAAAAAATACTGTCATTTTAAGATATTTCACTCAAAGAAAATTTAAATTTTTTCTCTGTTGTAAAAAATTTAATCTAAATGTTTTTAATGTACTTTTTTAAATTTTTTGCTTTGGCAATTAAGAGGCTACAAAGCCATTACTAGTGGAAAATTGTACCAATTTGAAATTAACATTTTCGAATACTGGTTTATTCAATTATTACTTTAAATTTTTAGTTGTTTTACTTAACTATTATCTTAAATTTCACGTTCTTCCATTGGCGAATTTCTTTAAAAGAAATTTTGTTTTTAAAATATAATAAGTCATCGCCGTCAAAAAGCTTCCACACCGAAATAAACTCAAGATCAAATTACAGTATAAGGTACCGGCACTATGAGCGCATCATTTCTAAAATTCATTTTTACCTAAAATCCTTTTTTTTCTTCATAAAATATTACATAACGCAGGTTATTATGGTAACATTTATTTAATTAGAGATATTCAGTGATTATACGCTACTTATCACTGCAAAAGTTACGGTTTATTATTTTTTTTTTGCTTTGTTACACAGTAAAAATGGATTTTGCTGTAAAAAGTATCCGTACCTTAAGTACCGTAACTTTTTAAAGTAGTTTAATTCGGAATTTTTTACAGTGTAGCAAACATTCATTTTTCACATTTTAAAATATGCATATAATAAAGTTAGCAAATTAAAAATATAACAAATTGAATAACTTTCGAAAAGATTCTCTGTGTTTTGATTATAAAATTCAACAATTAGTTAACTATGTTCAATTAACAACAGAGTAGTTCGATTAATAATTCGTCATAAAAATGCTCGGCAAGTGTAGATGTTCAGATTTGAGAACAGATGTGAACTTAAAAGAATTCAGAATGAAAAGGTAGAAAGAGATCAAATATTATTTATCGTGTACCATGGAAATTGACAAGACAATAGATTTGAATAGATTTTTCCTTTTTTAAAAAAAAACATTTTATTACGATAAAGAGCAGTTTTCCATGGAATTTAAAAACAATAAAAAATCTTGATATACACTGTAAAAAATCCCAGATCAAATTACGGTAAAGTACCTGCACTTAAGGAGCATCATCCGTAAAATTCACTTTTAACATAAAATACCATACCGTAGTTTGTAAAGTAATATTCATTTAATTAGAATAATTCAATGATTTTACGATAATTATTACTGTAAAAATTATGGTATATCATATTATCTGTAACATCTTCCAAGTAAGAAGTACCGGCACCTTGAGTGCCGGTGCTTTTTACAGTCAATTGATCCGGAATTTTTTACAAAGTGTAACCTTTTAATGTCTTCAACGGTTACCAACATTAATTTCCTGAGAAAGTTCGATTTTGTTTCCTAAATATTTTATCATACATAAATAAGTCATTTTTTAAAATAAAAACTAAAAACATAAAGTACAGTTTTTAAAAATCCTCAGGTTCCAAAAATTTAAAAAAGAAAATTTCATGAAAATTTTTTAAACTTATTAAACACAGGGTACTAAAGTCTTTATAATTATCAAGCACTAGGTAGTCTATTATTTAAATAATGTGCGAAATTAGATTTTCAATTTTTAAAACAACTTAAGGTTTAGAAAAGATTCTGGTAGCGAAAATAAAATCAACTAAATTTTAATTGTAGGTTGCAAAAAGATTTTATTTTATCATCAAAAGATTTATTTAAAACAAATTTTTTTTATTATCAAAACTGGTTTAAAAAAATTAAAATACTGCGCCGAATTATGAAGCATTTACCAACACCTTGAACAACAATAAAATACTTATAATATAAAAACACTGTCAAGAAGTATTTTCATAAAATATTTAGTTACGTTTTTAGTGCATTAAGTTAAGAACATTTTCCTTATTTCTAATAAGCAAAATATTTCTTTCATTGAAAAAACTATTAACTGGTAAATTTTATAGTAGGAATATATATTTTCCGGAAATTGTATTGGATATACAATGCCCAAGTGTTTTCAAAGATTTATTCTATTATTATTAATTTCCTATTGTGGAATCGATTGACATTTTCCATTGAATTTGTAAAAAAATTCTCTATTGCATTATGTCCCTGTAAGAAGCTTTATTGAAAAAAATTTTATTGAACTATTTTACTGTAAAACAAGATACACGAAACGTATTATATATACCCACTTAAATTGGACTCATAAGATGAATCTGTTAGAAAAATTCACAACTTTTTAAAAACCGATAAAGTTGGCTCTTTTTTTTTATTTATCTTAATTTTTCAACATAACAAACTTAAATATAAATATGCAATTAAAAATTATTTATTGCATTCACTTTTACCATAGTTACCATATACACAATGAAAAAAAAATTCTGGTAAAATTACTGTTCTGCACGGTGATAACATTTCTGGTGAAAAAAGCTATAATTTTGGTAATAAAAAGCAAAATATACGGTGTTAAAATTATTCATTTGGTAATTTTTACATTCATATATATAAGGCGGTTAACAAGATAATAATAATAATGATGATATTAATAATGAGGTGAAAATAATATAGATATGATATTAACAATCAGGCGGTATATGTTAATAATGAAGCGGTTAACCAGATGATAATAATAATGATATTGATTATGAGATGATATTAATAATGAGGAGGTTAACCAGAAATTCTGGTTTTAAAAACTGTAGTTTTTATCACCACACATTTATTAAAAAATACAAAACTGAAAAGAAAATTTAAGACAGTAAATGGTTTGAAATATGATAAAATTATCATATTTCACCCCATTTACCAAATTTTATCACACATTATAAAATCATATTTTATAGTTAAATTTAACAAAATTGTTACCAAAGCGCTTCGGTATGTATTTTTAGGTAAGGTAATATGAAATATACCTTACCTAAAGTTGTATTTTTAGATAATATGTCAGTCAATTATGTTAATTTATGGGTATTTTCCCAATTTTTTGAAAAACGATGCAACTCCGGTTTATTCGTCACTCCGCTTAATTCTTCAGTTTTTCAGAGGTCCAGAGAGTGTCGAATTAACGAGGTTTGACTGTACTATTATTATATAAATTAAAAATTAAATTGTTGTATCAATTTTAAATGATCCTTATTTTATTCATATTTTGCAAAATATCGGATGACAAAAAGTTTGAAGAATTTAATAATTTCATTTGCATTTAAAACTGAATGTAGATTATAAACAAAATTATCATAATAATAACAAAGAAACGCAAAACACTGTGGTGCCCTTCCGCGAATTGTATGATGAAAACTTCTCGGGGCGGTTTACTCCACATGGTTTGATCGAAAGAAAAATTTTAAAAATATTTAAACTCAAATCGTTCAAAACGATTATTAAACCAAAGTCACTTATTTTCGATCAAATACAGTTTTAATTTTCAGCTATAACAACAAAGTGGAAGTAAATAATAAGGTCATAAAATGAGGACTAGAAATTAAACTTTAAAAAAAGAAAAGAAAAAAAATCAAACCTTTATTTTTAGAAATTTTTATTTACTCCATGAAGCTGATTAACGCAAATCACTCTAAATTTCATAAAATGTAACCCTACTTTCAACAAAAAACACATTTTTTCACGCACAGTGGCACCGCCCAAACAGTTTGCCGCACAATTTAAAAACAAAAACTCTCAATTTAAATAATGAATGAAATCTGTTTTTATACCCTCCTTATAAGAATAACATCTGTAATCATTCAACTATAGTAACTAATTCAACACAATTAACGAAAAGTTTAAATTTAACAATTTAAATTCAAAATAAAACGTTCTGAATTACTCACCTGAAACAAGACCGATGCATCAGGTAGATTGTGTTTAGACAGCGTAAAGTAAGGAATTCAACGATATTTGCAGGTTTCGCCCCAACATAGCCCGAGGCTAGACGCTCCAATCAGAAGATAGAACAGATTTATATTAAATTGTAACTCGCTTTTATTACATAACGGGGGTTGGAAAACTTATTTTTCACCCTCCGATCTAACGGCAAGGGGTTTATGTTTATTTGTTCACCTGTCAAACTGACCACGGTCAAGACCCGAGAGTGTCAATGTACCGCGCCGCTTGCCGCGTTTTTTCTTTTTCGATTTCGACAAGTTGGCAGGTAAACACAACTTGTGCGACGATCGCAGCGCCATCAGTTGAGGTAAACGAGAACTTCAAAAAATATGACCAATTCATTGAGGAGAAAATAAAGTAAAGGGGTTTTCTAACCCCCTCTGATTTAATGAACCCCCTCTGAAATAATTATGTTTCATTTTAAGCTGAAAACGATTATTAAATAATTATGTTTTCTTTTTAGAGGGAGACGATAAGTAATTTTGTTTCATTTCTAACGGAAGACGATAAATAATTTTGTTTTATTTCTAGCGGAAGATGATTATTAAATAATTATGTTTTATTGTTAGCGGAAACAAGAAAAAAAAAGTAACATACGCTATTTAAAAAATTAACGATAATGATATCGCGTATCGTTAAATAAATAATTAATGATAGCAATGATAATTTATGGTCAAAAACGTAACATTGATCGTCTGCGAAAAAAAAAAAAAAAAGTTATATATATACACGATTCTCCCTTTTAAATAGTTTTAAACAGTTACTTTCTTAATAAATCCAGATTAGAAAAACCATTTAATTAGCTTCGAAGATTGTATAATGAATTTTTTTATTTTTTATGTGATTTCAGTTCTAAATTTACTAATTTATTTTTTACATTCGTTAAGTGCAGTTCCTTCCCTTACTTTCTCTCCATCTGGAACCATCATAAACTGGAAATCACATAGTTATTGTAGCTAAATTTATCTAAGGTTGAAATTTTTAGTTATGTCAGGTTAATTAATTTTTTAAATTTTATCCATTATTTTCTATTTAAAGATTTTCTTTTTTGACAAAACAAGATGGCATTATAGAAAAATACGATTATAAAAGGTCAAAAGTATTTATTTATTAAATTATTCTTCCATTGTATTATATATGTTACAGACTGAGCCAGACATTTTGAATTTATCTTTTTAGCACTAGCAAGGAGCAGCTTAATCATATCGTATTTGCAGCTATCAATATTCAACTGTTTTGTTTTGTAATATTAAACCCAACCCAGAAGACAAGGAAACTCTTATATCAAGGAAACTTGCCTTTTGTTAGAATTTATGAAGTAATTAACTCACATCTGCGTTGCACGGAAAGGAAAACTCCTAAGATCTCTGTCGGTTAACTAGATGGCAACTGGTTTCTAACACATAATCCGAATTTTCTAAGTACATATTTTGCATGCAAACTAAAAAATTTGAGAGATTCGCGAATTCGGAAAGTCTTTTGACCAAAAGCAGAAATAGTCGAAATGCGACCAAAAATTATCTTACTTAAATTATAGTACATTATATACGTAGTTTTATGAATCATTAAAGTTTTTTTTTATCACTTTGAGAATTCCAAAAATGTCATATCCATCCAAAAATATTCGTAACAACAAGTACTATCAGATTTTTTTAGTTACTTATGAGAAAGCTGTTTTATATGAAAAATAAAAAAAATGAATAAAAATAGATTTAAAATTAATTAAGGCTTCAATTGCAAAGCTAAGAAAATCAAAATTAAAAAGTGTTATACCAGAAAATGGATACGTGAATGAATTGTTTAAAAACTTTGAAGTATACTTTATTCATTATCCTCGGAAATAATAATCCGAACTTATTGAGAAATGCCCAAAAATCTGATTCTGATCATCTTTCACGAACCTTTTATCACAAAACATAATTTTTCTCGTCAATATTGCAGTTTTTGTTTTATATAATTTATTATTTTTGATTTTATTAGTTCCGAAAGGATTTCTTTTTTGAATTAGCATGGATGACTTGAACGATAGCGTATGGCGTACGTATACTTTTTAAGTACGAATTTTAAACTAAATTAGTTTTAACACAAGCTAATACTTTTTTTATTATTCTTTGCATCTTTTATGATTAATAGGAGTGATTGATTAATTGCTTGCAAGTACATTAGAAAGGCAACTTGCCAGCTTTCAAAAATATATAGTAATTAAAAATATTAGTAAATATTAGTAAATGACCATGCTTATACGCTTGACAAGGAAAAATAAAGAATATACCTAACTTTTATTTCGTGTTCTGAAGCTTTCAGTTGGCAAAATCTGTTAATCCCCATTTCAAATGACAACGTCATGGAAGTTTTAGTTTGCATTAAATCTGCCCTCTTACGTAAATTTAAGACATATTTGAGGTTGTTTTGAGATATAAATGAGGTATATTTGAGTTTGCTGAGAAAACAATCTTAAAAATTATCCCTCATAAAGGTTGCAATTGAGGTGTACGAGGTTGTTTTACATACAATTCAGCTCAGTTTGAGGTTGTTTAAAATTCACTTCAAATCAACCAGTTACCAGGCTGATTGAGGTAATTTTCAAGGTATACAGGCTGTTTTTCTTACAGATTATAACAAAAAAAGGTATTTATGAGGTATAAAAAATGTACGTCATTTAAATTAAAAAGAGTGAGGTATTTATTGAGGTATATAAAGTCATTTTATTCATATATAAGCTTATTTTGAGGTTGTTTTAAATTCAATTCATATCAACCAGACTGATGAGGTGATTTCTAAGGTATACCATGTTGTCTTTCTGACACTTGTAACAAAAGATGTATTTATGAGGTATAAAAGAATTTACCTTATTTCAACTAAAAAGAGTGAAGTATTTATTGAGATGTATGAAGTCATTATATTTATACCTAAGCTTATTTTGAGGTTGTTCAACATACATCTCATATTAACTAGTTCACTTCCCAGAGCTCCGTGTGGGCCAGCGAAATGGCATGTGTGTTGATAATCGAAAGTCTTTGAGAAATTCGGTAAGGACGTTTATTGATTTAGTTTTATCACTCTTAATCAAACATAATTCAATTTTCAAACTTAAATTTTATTATTTTTGTTTTAAAGACGCGTCCAGATGGTTTAAATAATTAATGTCGGAGGATATTCTTAGAAGTTATTGTTGTAGGCTTAGCAATAAGGGAGAACAATTGGAATGTTTCTCGTCGTTGCATAGGTTAACGTTATCAGTGAATCGTTCGAACAGGTTACGCACAGTATATTTTATTGTTTGCCATTTATTCAAATATAACTATTATTCTATTTAGATTAAATGTATATGTTTTACCTTAGCACTATGCAAGCTGATTAATTGAATAAAATGTCCACAAATTCTCTTATAAATAAATCATTAAAAAGTGAAAATTTTTAAAATAGCTATTTTGCTTTGAAATTCTACTACAGCTATATGGTGATCGTTTGCTTGGACAATTTTATGTATATGCAAAGTTTATATTGATGTTTCTGAGTGAAAATATGTATAATAACACTGCATTCTAAATTTGATTAACATGCAAATTTTTAGTAATACAGAGCTTATCCACAAGTAGTACCGTGATATTGCTGAGATGACCTAGGCTGTATATAGCACATGTTCAGCAAAGAGGATGAAGTTGCTACTTACCTTTCCCTGGGAAATAGTTCAGAATTTATACCAAGAATAAAACGTAATCTCTCATACTAAACTACTGAATTTATGTAATTGTTGATAACAATAGTTTGTCTGATATTTGATAGTTCAGAACTAGTAACTGTACTAGCTCACTTTTTTATGTTTGATCACAAACTGTTATTTTTCACTACATATTACTTTTTCGCAATTTACCCATGCTTATTATTTTCTAAGCAGATTGTTATGACCAATTCGAATACTAAGCATAATTAAATAAAACCCGATTTCAAATTTACATGATAATTTGTTTCAAGCTTATGAGCATTTTTATGCAGCTGTGTATAGTTCATTACTTAAGAAATTAGCAAATTTCAGAAATCTTAAATTTTTTAGAAATAAGTCAGTATTTTTTCTTATGTAATTTTAATTCTGAATCGAATAAAATCAATGGCAAATAAAAGAATTTATTGTTTGAAAGTTACATATTTTTTATTTTATTTCACCCTAAGAGATATACTTTATTATTTAAGCAAATGATTGTAGCCACTAACATTTAATTTTATTCTGCTCGGTATTATAAGTTACACAGGAAATCTCTTACTCGACCTCTTTCAAAATCATTACTTCAAATCATTTTCTTTAGACATTTTCCTCTCATAAAATTGCTCACAACTTTAAAACAAATGTTCCTTATCAGCTTGTGGTTAGTTTTATTCGACTGGGTGTAAGAAATGCATAAAAATTGGTACCTAACTTTAAAATTTTATGTTATTAAATTATTGTTGATTCACGATTGCATTGATTAAAATAACTATTTTTTGCGAAACTGACAAAAAGTGACTTTTTCTGACAAAAAGTTTAAAATTATTGTCCAATCTTATTGAGTTTTTATTAAGGTTTGAAAGAAAAAAGAAAGAAAATCTAATTATTAAACTTATAAGTACCGTAATGAAAGATGTAGGTTCAATTATGAGAAAATAAAAGGTGGTAAAATTTCCTATTAAGATTGGAATTATATATTTGAATTTTTATAAAGTTTGTTAGTGGTAGTACTCTCTTCGATGTACTTTATTTCGCGGCTGTGTTACCTGTCACACTTTTTAAATGCTTTTAGTTACAAGGATTGAATAGAAATGACAGAAGTGGAACTCCATTTATCTGAAGAAAAAAAATTAATTTCCTCCAGTCAATTTAAATCATGAAAAAAACAATTTCTAACATTTTAAAACCTGCCGCTATTATTGTAAATATGATTTTCATTTTTGTTATTATTTTTCTCTTTTAGGTTCCAATACTTCCAAGTTTCAACAGAGGGACAGAATTAATATTAAAAATAATTTTGTTGGTTTGTAATAAAACTGAAATTTTAGTTTTAAATAAAAGTGTTTTGAATATACAGCTGTCTAATTATTTAAATTCGCAGTTTTATAGCTTTAAAAATTCAAGCACCTTTGACATCTACCTTATAAAAATGTGAGTTCCCACAAATAATTTTTTTAGCTGTGGAATTCGGATAAGTGTCATTTCAAGATAAGTTAATTGAATCTATTAAAATCACAGAAGAATTATGTATTTGAAACTTCATTTTATAACTTAACAAAA